AGTAGGGGTTAGTAAAAATTATACCATTAAGGGTATTAGCACCCTATCCCCTTCCGAGAATGGTGTGGATAAATTTTAGTTCATGTAGACAATAATTTTTTTTAGATGATTTAAATTTATGCGTTAAGTTAGACAATCATAATATATTGGGTGCGCTTATAGTGCCTTGCAAGTCACCGTAACTTGCACAATTCAGCCAAACCATTCCTAACTGAGGTCTACCGAATCCCCTTAGGTGGTCACTCTAATGAAAAATCACGGTCGACCATTAAAATATAGTGGTCGACTGTTTTAAGTTAAGTTGATGCATTAATGGTCAACCACAATAAAACTTCGGTGGGCCTTTTCATTGTATTCAGAAGCAAATGGTGGACCGTAAACTTAAGGAGGTCGACCACTAGTTGGCAGTCATTACGGAAATTGTCAACCATTTACAAAAAGAGGTCAACCTGATAGAAGAGTAAAGTTCTATCCATATATCCATCCCCCTTTGGCATGAAATGAAGATCAGTGACACGCTAAAACACAACACCAAACTGCGACCAACTGTAATCGCAGTCTGGAAATGCAGAATAGTGGCGAGTTCTATTTATCAACCCGTGGTCTAGATCTACTGCCTACTCCGTGATTATCTATTATCTAGCAAACTAAGTCGAGTGATTGTGATTTTAAGCAAAAGCACTAAGAAAGCAGGAAATGGTTCGAAGTTCTTAAGCAGGGGTAGAGTCACGCGAGAATGAGTCCCCCTAGCTCCTTAGTTAGGTCAAAGTTGTAATTACCAGTGCTGTCAAAGCCGAGCCGGCCGGCCGGCCGAGCCGCCAAAACCGCCAACCGCCCATAAAACCGGCTCGACTAAGCTATTTAGCCGGAGTGGTTATTTGGGGCGGTCGGCGAGAGGCCGAAGCGGTTAACCGCTCGAACCGCTCGAGCCGCTCGCCCAGTTTTTAGCATTTGGGCCGGTTGATGTAATTAAAAAAAAAAACAGAAACTAAAAATCAAAAATTAAAATGAAAGGGGACGGGAGTAGGCTTGGCAATGGGCCCGCGGACTTTGGATATCCGCCGGGGCCCGCCCGCCTGTATTGGGCTTAAACCCGCGAGGCCGGTCAGATTCGCGGTTGCGGGCAAACCCGCGACCCGTCGTACGCGGTGATGGGCTGGGCACGGATTCTAGGATCCCCGGCCCGTATCCGCATCGATAGCAAACGACGTCGTTTGCTGCGCATATATAATGCCTCATTTTTGGGGTTAGGGTTTGTGGACAGTCCATTTTCATCTTCCGCCGACCTTGTATCCCCGATTTCCTCTCAACCCATCCGAGGCGATATCGCCGATTTCCTCCCCAAATCCCTTCGATTCCGCCGACTTCTCCTTCTTCCCGACTATTCTCCCTCGCAAATCGACGATCCCATCATCCATAACACTACATCTTACTGTAAATCAACCCTCCAAACTCCGAAAATTTCTCAATCGCCAGAAATCTTCTCTGAATCGTGCATGCAAAGGATTTCTTTCCCAGATCGAGATAAGTATTTAGTTATTTATTACCTTATTCCAGTTTTGCTCATAGACTTATAAATAGGTGACTAACTTCGACATTTTGTTCATATGCAGTTCATCGAACCCAAAATCCAGAAACCCTAGCCTTCCAGATTTCGGAACCCTACTTTGCTGCGTTCTTAGTAAGTTTGTTCGACATTAGTTAGTTTCATTAATTGATGTTGGTGCATGCTTAGTTCGACAAAATCAATAAATCCCTAATTATCTAAATTTCATCTTTTGCTTTTGTAGCTTGCTATTCGGGAGTCGCATCTCGCAACTGGTTCTTCCACTGCTTTCTGCCGAGGTAAATCGCCATTCCTTGTTTGATGGTTCTTGGTTGTTGATGTCTGTTCCTGGTTGTTGATGTCTGTTTTTGGTGCATGCATTAGATAATTGTAGACTAATCACCTTTGAAGTAACCATCGCATACTACTGATCACCATTAAAACTAAGAACTGAATGTGTCTGCTAAATGTTAATGGTTAGTGTGATTCTGTTCTTGGAAAATGTCACTGTTGCAAGTAGTTTATGTTATGGTTAAAGGTAATGGTCAATGTGATTTTATTGTACCTAAGTTCAAGAGACTGTAATGTTAATGTTCACTTTGTTTCTGCTAATTCATAAATCTGTTTCTGCTAATGAACCCAAATGTAAACTCTAAATCATCTAATGAACCCAAATTACAACTAATTATCACTTTGTTGTAAGTTAGTAAGTAGTCTATGTAATGGTTTATCCAGTTTGTGAGAGGATTCAATCATCATTACATAATATACTTGGTTAATCCTAAAACTATATAAAGTATAAACTCTAAATTATCTAATGCAGTAAATGCACCCAAATTATCTAATCCCAAAACAGTAAAACTATCTAAATTATCATTACAGATTTGACTTGATTCAATCATCAAACTGTTTAACCATGATCTTCTGTAATGTTGATCGAATCCAGATTGTGAGAGGATCCAATCAACATTACAGAATAGACTTTGGTTCATCATTCTCCTTTTTTATCTAATCTCTAATGGTCTAATCATTGAATTTTGATTCATTAGAACGACATTGGAATTCATTTTGAAACGTTTCTTTTATTTCTGTTTCTTACCCAGATGGAACCTGAACAAGTTGAGAATGCACCAATTCAGAATAACAATGGAAACCAACCTGGTAATTCTGAAAACCTTACTGAAGATGCTCTTCCCCAAAATCCCTTAGGTGCTAGTAGGTGCTTAAAGTCTGATGTGTGCCTCACTTCACCAGACTGATAATTAATGGGGTTTTGAAAGCAAAATGCAACTATTGTAAGAAGATTTTGGCTGGAAAATCGAGTAATGGTACCTCCCATCTTAGGACTCATAGGAACCGTTGTGTTCATAAAAAAATTCATGATGGTAGTCAAAAGGTCCTTGGGGCTGACTATAGTGCCAAGGGAACAACTGATCTGAGTACGAATCAGTTTAGTAGTGAGGTTTCTAGAAAGGAGCTCTGCACCATGATCTTGGTGCATGAGTATCCCCTTTCTATTGTGGACCACCTTTATTTCAAAAGGTTTTGTTGCACCTTGAATCCTCTCTTCAAAGTTCCAACCCGAAATACCATAAAGAAGGATATAGTTACTATATATGGTTTAGAGAGGGCTAAGATTCAGAAGGTCCTTAATGAAAACCGAGGTCGTATAGCTGTCACAACTGACATGTGGACTGCCACAAACCAAAAAAGATCTTACATGGCTGTCACTGCCCATTATATAGACAACTTTTGGAAGTTGCGAAACCATCTGCTTATGTTTGGATATTTCCCTGCCCCCCACACTAGTGAGAGGATGGCTGCAAAGCTAGCTCAATGCCTCCGATCTTGGAACATTGATAGTACATTGTCAACCATTACTCTTGACAATTGTACTACCAATGATTCCATGATAAATCTAATTAAACAAAGGCTAGTGTTATAGAATCTAATTAGGGATGGCACACTTCTTCATATGAGGTGCTCTGCTCACATCCTTAATCTGATTGTGAGGGATGGACTCGATGTATTGAAAGATGGTATTGAAAAAATAAGGGAGAGTGTGGTCTTTTGGACCTGCACTCCCAGGAGAGTGGAGTTTTCCATGCAACTGCCCAACAACTCAAATTATCTGTTTCTAAGAAGTTGGTATTGGATTGTCCCACTCGTTGGAATTCCACCTACGAGATGCTTTCTTGTGCTATCCCGTATAAGGAAGTGTTCTCTATCTTGAAATAAGAGAGCCTCAATATAATTCTCTGCCTACCAACGAGCAGTGGGACTTTGCTGCTGTTTTGGTTGACAAGCTTGATGTGTTCAAGGACATCACTTTAATTTTTTCTGGTTCAAACTACCCAACAGCGAATCAGTTTTTTGCTAAAGTGTGTGATTTGAGGTTAAAGTTGATGGAATGGTTAAGTGATCCTAATCTGCTGATTGTTTCTATGGCTGCGAATATGTGGAATAAGTTTGTGAAGTATTGGGATGACATTCATTTACTGTTGGCTGTTGCTGTTGTATTGGATCCACGGTATAAATTGGATCTGGTTGATTACTATGCTGGAAAATTCGGTATCACTAATACTGATCTAGTGAGTGAAAGGGTCAGATCAGTTATGGCCGAATTGGTTGTTGAGTATCAAAGAAAAGCCACCAAAAACACTTCTGCATCTTCTGCTGTTCATCCTTCTTCTTCGGCTACAGATCTGGATTTTGATCTGTATGTTAGCCAAAGAAAGAAAACCAAAATTTCTGCAGTAACCACCGAGTTAGATCATTATCTAGCTGAGGATGTTCATCCTAGAACACCAGATTTTGATGTGTTGGGTTGGTGGAAATTCAACGGTGCCAAGTATCCCATTTTGCAAGAGATTGCAAGGGACTTACTTGCTGTACCTGTTACTAGTGTGGCATCTGAGTCTGCCTTCAGTTCTGGTGGGAGGCTTCTTGATCCCCATCGGAGCAGACTTGATCCTGCAACAATAGAAGCGATGATGATATTAAGGACTTGGATTCAGGATGATAGCAAAGGTGAATTTTTTTTAGTTCAATTATGAATTATGTTTACTTTGCTATTGTTTCATTTTCTCGCTAATTAAACTGTTTACTTGAATGTTGCTATTGCTCCTAGTGTCTGCTGCTGAATTGAAAGCATTGGAGGGAGTTTTCTCTGCTAAGGCAATGGATGATGCCACGGTGGAAGAGAGCACAGGTAATCAACTTCTCTTGTTGTAATTTGTTTATTCAGTTCTCCTAGGAATTTTACTAAACAGACTGTTTATGTTTCAGATGGAGCTGGAATGCAAAAGGAGCTGGAAGGAGATGAAGATGAGGTTGCTGCAGTCAACCTGCTCGACTAGCTATTGGTGTCTGTAAGTGTGTTCTGTTTCTTTTTTTTACTGTTAAAGCTTTGCTACTGCTGGAATTTTACTAAAGCCTTGTAGAACATAGTAATCTGAAGTTGTAAATTTTGTTGGAATTCATGAAATCTTAATCTCATTGAAAGAAGACGCAAGGACGAGAAAGAGAGACTTAGGAGTGAAGATTCAACACTGATTGTTGCTTTTCAGAATGGCTTCTGTTTTTGTTTTTTGTGTTTCAATCTTTCAGACTCGAAGTGTTATTTCAGAAGTTTGTTAGCTGGGATTTTTTTACACTCTGTGGGTTTCAATTTTGGGTTTGAGTGATTGTTATTTTTGGGTTTATTTATGGTCAGATTGTTGATTTTGAGTCAGGTTCCTGGGTTTGCAGACTGCAGTGCATGGTTGTTTGTTAGCTGGGATTTTTTTACACTGTGGGTTTCAATTCTGGGTTTGAGTGATTGTTATTTTTGGGTTTATTTATGGTCGGATTGTTGATTTTGAGTAAGGTTTCTGGGTTTGCAGTTCATAATTTCTTGTTGAATGTTATAAGAACTTGTTTTTCAGAAATTCTTGTAATGCTTAGGGAATGAATTGAAATTGGTTGCCTTATATTTCTGGACAGGTCACGGGTAACCATTGACCCGCGGGTTCACCGATACCCGTGTGGTCTTGGGCTTGGTCCAAAGTTTGTGCCCATTAAGGTTAATGGGGCGGGTCCGGGTTTTACCCGCGGGCATATATAGCGGGCAACAGATATGGGGTACCGCCCAGTATCCGACCCATTGCCAAGCCTAGACGGGAGGCTGTCTGAACTCTCAAGGGAACCCTAATTTTATTTCGTTCCCTCTTCGGTTGCAGACGACGAAGGAGAAGCAGCTCCTCCGCAGCCTTCGTCCAGCGCCTTCGTCGCCCACCGGAAACGTAGCCTTCGTCCAGCGCTGTCGTCGTTTGATCCCGTCGTCGTTCCATCGCCGTCGCCATCGCATCTCGACGCCAACCAAAACACATCTCGACGCCTTCCCCGTTCGTCCAAAACACAACTCACCGCCGTTCCCCGCAGCCTTCGTCCAAGCCGCCATCGTCGTTGACTCCTGCTGCCGGCGAGCGCAACGGATGCGAATCCGGTGAGGTCTCCCCTGCATCGACCCCTGCTGCCTCGCTCCTGCATCGACCCGCTGCCTCTGCTGCTGCCCTCCCTTCTCCAATTGGCAATTAACTTCTTCCCCAATTAGCCTAGGTAATCCAATTCATTCTTTCATTTGTAAAGTTCATGTTTGTATCTTAATGCGTAGATGAACAGAAGTAGGCGAGAGGAAGAGTTGGCGTGAGGGTTCTTTCTTTCATTTGTAAAGTAATTCAATTGTTTTAAAGCCAAGCCAAGAGTATGAAGAATAAGCATAAAATTTGTTTGTGTTACTGCCGTGAGATTTCCATGTCCCATTTAGCAATTTTTTTACTGATCCGATGTTTCTTTTGTAAGAGAGTAATTTACTTGTGGTTTACCATGATTAAGAAGTGTCTACTATTTATACAAATGACTGTTTATTAGGTACCGGTTCTCAAACGGTTTTTAAACGGTCTAATGCAGGCTGGACCACTAATGATCGAGCCGTTCACGTTACCGGGTCATACTCCGGCTCGGCTTTGACAACATTGGTAATTACCCTTGGTTGATTTACTGTTGATTAAACTGCGGAAGATCCGACAATAGCTTGGAATCTCTTAAGCTGACCAAGCCCTCTCAGACAGACTAACCGGCAGGCGACTAGCCTTCACCGGGATAGACTACTGAGGCAATAAAAACAGAACTCCACTATTGGAATTGGATTCCAGGACAAAGCAGTAAATCGATTAACTCTCGTATAACTAATCTACTACTACCGATTGATGAAGCTCTAACAACATAATCAGATTCTGTCTATCTCAGGTTGCAGCAGAAATCAAGAAAAGATGATCAGGCTTCAATTGACTCAATGAATCATGCATCAATCGATTATAATCAATCAATATATCAATCCAAAGTCATTACAATCAAGATTCCTAACACATGGAAATAGGGTTCTTCATACCCAAGTGAGAGAGGGTTCTACTCCATAGAGAGAGAGATGAAAACCGAAATCAGAGCAGTCATACTCATAAAGATGGGGATAAACTGCTCTGGGATGTCGATCTTCACTCATGGGGATGCAATCTGGGCTTCAATGGTGAGAAATCCACTCCAAATAGCTCCTAGGGTTTGTTCTGTGCACTTTCTCTCTCTAAAACTCTGTTTTCTGCCCAAAAAGTCGATCCCCTCAAAATATGAGCTCCTCTCCAATAAAACCTGCACAGGTGCAAAAACACGGCCTCTAAGCCCAAAAACTCGGCCGTGTTTTAATCAAAAGAGGCCGGGTTTTTGAATGGCTATTCTGTGGAGGGTAGAGGAAAAACACGGACTCTAGCACAAGGCCGTGTTTTTCACAGCAGAGGCCGTGTTTGAGGGCGTGTTTTTCAACAGCTCTGCTGCCTGTTCTCGCGATCGACTTGCTTTCACCTCCAAATGTCCCGAGACTCGTCCCAAGGCCATATCTACGTACTAGGACCTGAAATATGACAAAAGAACACAACCTAGCGTAAAATAGGCCAATGATTCACCAATCACTAAGCTAAACGATCAAGAAATGAAAGTGAAAACATGTGCGAATAAGGTGTTATCAAATTCCCCCCACACTTAATCGTTTGCTTGTCCCTAAGCAAACCAAATCAGACACAAGGTAAGCTCAAAACATTTTAATCATGCAAACTTCGGGGACATATCATATAGGCACAAAATACGTGAACCATACTTGCTACTAGACATCGACACATTAACAACCACAACATCAACCTGGACAACCACCACAGAGGACATTCGAGTGCAGCAAAATCGGGTAAAGGAAGAGTCTCCCTTCTGTTCACCAACCAACATAGACTTGACTCAATCACTTATTCAAGACAGTCATCTCATGCATAAAACTCAAGACATCAGATTCAAGACTGAGCAATCTAGGTCCTCACTGGGGTATATAATATGATAATTGAATCACTCACTCTCGACCAGTGGGGTCAGGACAGCATTTGATGCAAGATGTGCATACTCGTACTCTCAATCCCTAACGTCTCTTCACCATGACGGCAGCCTCTAATGTTAGAGTTCACATATCGGGTGTCCCCACTAACTAATCCGGAGGTCTTAGACACAGGTCAGATGACTGGCTAGGGTCTTGGACATGGGAAAAAGGGCTTTTAGGTGGTGGAAGTATTCATAACACAAGGTTCCACAGTTCCAAATCCAACACATTCACAGCCATTCAAACCACTTACTTTCTTTCTACCATTCTGCATTACTCAAGTTCTTTAGAGCACAAGAGCGAAGGAGGTCACAATAATGTTAGTATTTCTAAGCCAGACTGCTAAGAAACACTACTTATTGAGCATGATTCAGATTTTTGGTAGTGGCTCTCTTTAGCTTTCATTCATTTTTTTCATTCCTTGAGAGAACCACCACCTCTGCACATTTTTCAAACAAATGCTCAACTTTTAAGAACTACCTCCAACCCTCACATTATTTTTAGCAGAGAACATGCAAAAACCACTATGTGGAACCTTCTAAGAGATGCAAAAGGGTGATTTTTCATTGTAGACCGAAAGAAAGAAAGTGACACAGCTCAAAGGGGCTGACTAGGGGGTATGACACACCAGGAAAGTCAATTTGGTCGTGGGCTATTCCTATGCCTCCATCATCTTAGCTAATGACAATGTGAATGCTACACATCATGGAAGAGGGATCTATCGCACAAGAAAGAAACGAGCATGCTCAAATCTCACATGGCTACCTATATGCTCTATCTCTCATTCTGATTTCCTGAACTAGATGCATAAACGACTGTCAAGAACAAGTGATCAATCCAAGTCACAGTTGGTAAGCAAACAGTTGAAAAACTGAACCCCTACACAACTCTACTGCACGTCTCAGTCATCATTATAGGTTGTCCTAGTCACAATCCAGTTGTCATGCATCAACTCTAACAGCCATTCGATTCACCAATTAAACCACAGTGCCAATATGATCATGCAAACATTAGTACTTGGAGCCCTCAAATCTCGAGATTTGGACAGCGGACTAGGCTCCAAGCACACGCATATAAGTTCCAATAAAGACAAAGCACCCCCCCACACACACACTTAAGTTCGACATTGCCCTCAATGGACCAGAGGGAAGGGGAACGATGCAATAAGGAATGGGGACTGGAAAGCAGACCAGTCAAGAGCAGGGGATTGGAAGGGGACCAGTCCAAGCCATAGAGCTAAAGTCATCAAAACACACACACTGGGTGAAAGAAACAACAAACCAGAGTTCCATGTGCACAATCCAAAATAGAAGCAAAAATAAAAATAAACGAAGTCACTGGTGGAAAATGAAAAGACATAACAAAGCAGCAACCTGCGCCAGATCAATCAGACGGCCCTCCACCTCCGAAAGGCACATAGGGGATGCCGAGACGACGGAGGACGGGCTCCTGAGTGGACTCAATACGATCAAGGTGGGCATCGAGATGGCCAAAGGACATGGCTGGCGGAGGCGGACGGGGCGGTGCAGGTGGCGGCTCCGCCTGATGGAGGGTTCTACTCCATAGAGAGAGAAAGAGAGAGGAAAATAGAAATCAGAGCAGTCATACTCGTAAAGATGGGGATAAACTGCTCTGGGATGCCGATCTTCACTCCTGGGGATGCAATCTGGGCTTCAATGGTGAGAAATCCACTCCAAATAGCTCCTAGGGTTTGTTCTTTGCACTTTCTCTCTCCAAAACTCTGTTTTCTGCTCAAAAAGTCGATCCCCTCAAAATATGAGCTCCTCTCCAATAAAACTCGCGCAGGTGCAAAAACACGGCCTCTAAGCCCAAAAACACGGTCGTGTTTTAATCAAAAGAGGCCAGGTTTTTGAATGGCAATTTTGTGGAGGGCAGAGGAAAAACACGGCCTCTAGCACAAGGCCGTGTTTTTCACAGCAGAGGTCGTGTTTGAGGGCGTGTTTTTCAACAACTCTGCTGCCTGTTCTCGCGATCGACTTGCTTTCACCTCCAAATGTCCCGAAACTAGTCCCAAGTCCATATCTACGTACTAGGACCTGAAATATGACAAAAGAACACAACCTAGCGTAAAATAGGCCAAGGATTCACCAAGCACAAAGCTAAACGATCAAGAAATGAAAGGGAAAACATGTGCGAATACGGTGTTATCAATCAACTGTAATGGTTTTGCGGTCGATCGCATACAGTAAAAGGTCGACCGCATACAGGAAAATCAGCCTATGACCTTCGACTTTTTTGCTTATGTGTGTCGTTGTTGGTGGTTCGTTTGCTCGTACAATACAATTGAAACTAACATAATCAGTCATAAATCATGATAGCAAGGACTCATAACTTCATAACATAATAACAACTTAACACACTAACAAGAAATACAATAAAACACACCTCATAATTGTTCACACATACCTAAAATCGAAAACCGCATAATATCAATCCACAATCAAAGTTGTTTCAAACCAAATCGTCTTTAAGACATATTGAACAAAAAACACAATCTAAAACTATCAAGTTCCTACACCTCTCCCCTCTCTCACTCGTCCGCATTTTCCTCATTGGTGGTGCTATCATTATGGTAGTCGGATGTGGTGGGATGCATGTATCTTCCACTGAAAGATCGGAACTCATCTCACATCTCTGTTACGGTCACCTGCAGTGCGCTTATCTGGGTGGTCATCTGCTCCATGTAGTCGTGCATGCCAGTGATCTGGGTGGACATCTGCCCCATCTGGTCGTACATGCCATCCATGTGGTCCCATATACGCTGTAGGGTGACTGGTGGAGCCAAACTTTGTAGCTGCATCATTGGCTCGTCTCTGAGCTCCTCATCATCAGCATCATCAGCATCATCATCATCATCATCATCATCATGGACTACATGAGGATTGTATTCTCGGACATACGCACCATCATGCATCTCAAATCTCATCTTCTTTAGGGATGTAACTATGTAAAACTCAGGCCTTGTGACTCTTTAGCCAACCTCTTCACTTAAATTCACACTAAAAATGCTCAAATAACAGAATCAGGGTCACCCCATAGGGAAGATTCATGTTTGAACTCTCTGCAACAACAAGCATGTGTTTAAATATCTGGTATGGCAAGTTCACCTTCTCATGTGAAAGCAGGTTGGTTAGGAGCTCCATGTCAAAGTAGATGACTGCCTCCCGATGTCCACCCTTCATAAGAATGTTGTAGGAGAGCATGTGGTGAAGAACTCTGGCTTGAACTATCAGCTGGAAAATAGTTGGTCTACTGTGATCCTCAACATCTTCCTCTTCAGCAAGACCATATACAGTCTGAATTTTCCTGGCTCTCGAGAAATGAGTTTCATTCCAAGCATTGTAAGAATCTATTATCTTCCCCTGGTCTGGGGCCTCTAGTACTGCTGCCAACACACTCTTGCTGATACGCATCTCCACCCCATTCACATATGTTCTGAAAGCATGAATCGATCCATTTGCAGAACGCTGATAGACGATGTTGTTGTAGAGGTACTGTACCTTTTTTGGGTAGTATGGTACATCAAGTGATATCACCTTCAGCCAATCTTGTTCCACAAATGGTGCTAGGAACACGTAATTTTCAAAATGCTCATACGCGTCAATCGTCAATGGCCTTCCAGGAGCCACCTTGCGGTTGTGCATTCTCCTCTCTTCATATTTTTCACTCTGCTCCTTGGTCAGGAATAGAGTTGGGTTGAACACTTCCCATTTAGAACTTGAGGCAACCGCTTTCTATGACTTTCTTTTTTTCCTCGAAACATCCTGAGATCAAAGAAGGGACAATTCATGTCATCCAAATGAAAAAACCAAACAGACTTGGTCGACCTGTCCCTAAATAGGTCGACCTATACTCTGCATTCATAGAAGAAACAAAACATTAATAGGTCGACCGCAACCAAACTAGGTTGACCTTTTTTTGCAAGCACAAGCAAAAACCAAATAGTTCTTAGTCCAATTTGATAATATCACGAAACAAAAGATTATAGGTTGACCTCAACCAAACTAGGTCGACCTTTGTTTGCAAGCACAAGCAAAACCAAACAGTTCTTAGTCCAATTTGCTAATATCACGAAACCAAACATTATAGTTTGACCTGACTATCTATAGGCCGACCTATTTTTTCAAACAGTAGCAAATATCAAACACGTCTTGACAAATCCTTCAAAAATCTCCATAAGAGCATAAATCGAACATCAGTAGGTCGACATCAACCAACCTAGGTCGACCGTTGTTTGCAAGCACAAGCAAAAACCAAACAGTTTTTAGTCCAATTTAATAATATCACGAAACCAAACATTATAGGTCGACCTCTTTGTCCAAGCAGAAGCAAGTAAAACACATTTTGACAAATCCTACAAAAATCTCTATAATAGAGCAATAAATCGAACATCAATAGGTCGACCTCAACCAAACTAGGTCGACCTTTGTTCGCAGCATAAAGCAAAAACAAAAACCTTGTAGTCCATCGTTGTAATATTAACCAAACGAAGCAAAATAGGTCGACCTCATCCGGAACAAGGTCGACCTAGTTCTTCAAACATAATATTGAAAATGCCAAACATTCTGCATAAATCGGCGAATTTTGTAGATTTAAATAATTTGACGAGAAAGAAAATCATATCGGCCGACCATGGATGAAGAAGGTCGACCTATTTTGACGAGAAAACCAAATTTTTATGGTTTCAAATCAAATCGTAAAGACCCATCGTTCGATTGCAAACAAATCCGGTCGACCACGAACAAGAGGAGGTCGACCGATTCTTGCAAACAACAGGCCAAAATCTGGTTTTGCAGCTTTAGGGGTTTGGTAAAACCAATAGAATCTACCATGAACAAACAGAAAACTAACCCAAATGACAGGAAGAGAAGAGAAACACCCCTTATTCTTGTGATTAGCAGCCGAGAATCAAGAATTGAGGATTTGGTGCTTTGTTACACCCCGATCTTGCCAAAAGTCAAAATGACTATTATACCCTTGCGAGAAATTCGTCAAATTCCATCACAATATCGATGAGGACTAAAAATGCGAAATCTCGGTTCAAGCGGTGTCGAATTTCGACATAAAATGAGAAAGTTACGGACATTAATTGAGTTTCGGATTAAACTCACCCGCAAGTGTGAATTTCCACAAATAACCTTGGACTAACTAAAACCCTAGACTTTTATTCCACCCCACTCGGGCTCACCCCAATGGAAAAAACCCCTCGTCTCGCCGAACTCTGAAAATACAACTCTCGACTAGCGAATCCTCTCTTTCCCTTCCCCCAAGTCACTCACCGCCTTCTCCGCCATCAGGTGTCTCTATGTGCTAACAAACAAGGGTTGACTTGGGATCAGCTTCATGCGCTATTTGAAGGGTGGCGGTGGTTATGGCCGGACGCTTGCCCGAGCCTGGTCCAGTCAATCTCGGCGGAGTAGGGTATTTGGCATCCGACTTCCAAGGGAGGAGAGGAAAGCCATAGTTCCTTTCACTCGCCAATCCGAGATCATGTACAGGTCTGCTGTTGCCGCTAGGCTGCTGAGAGATAGAGCCGCCGCACAGAAAGGTCCTGGTTGGCTAAGTTCTCTCAATCATTCCAGGCGGTTTGCTCATTCTTTACCCTTCACAACCGTAGATGCTGAAGAGTTATCGGGTGCTAGACCAGCTCAAGTACAAAATCGGGTGCAGGGGAAATGGGGAGGATCTTCTAGGTGGAACACAATTGTGGATCCTTTAAACGGGGAACCATTTATTAGAGTTGCTGAAGTAGATGAGAAAGGCATCAGGACATTTGTGAAGAGCTTGTCCAATTGTCCTAAGCATGGGCTGCACAATCCATTTAAGTTGCCTGAGAGGTATCTTCTTTATGGGAACATATCCTCGAAGGCGGGGGCACATGCTTTCATTACCAAAGGTTTCTGATTTCTTCGCAAGGTTAATACAAAGAGTTTCCCCAAAAAGTTATCAGCAAGCGCCTTTATGGACAAAGTTCAAATCTTGTGATTGCATTGAAGTGGGAACTTGGTTATTCAAGCAAGCAGGAGGCCATTACCAAGCAGGGAAAACTATGTATGAGGTGGCTTGAATCTCGGGGCATCACAAGCAAGCTGGTCGCATGATTTTTTTTTTTGCCATCACTGCCACGGACGACAAGGGGAAGCAAGCATGAGATGGTTTGCTCGGGAAATTAAGGCAAAAGCGGGCTGACTGGTCGATTGAGACAGCGGGTTTGCCTTTTCTCTCTACTACGAGAGCTATTTGCTTAAGCAAGCTCGTGTTGTTACCGGCGGATTCAGGGCGGCCAAATAACGACCAAATGGTTCACTTAGTTCTATTTGCCAAGCAAGCTGCTCCAATTTTATTCAAGCAAGTACGAGTGTGGTATTTGGAAGCGAGTATGGAAACTTTGGAGCAAAATTAGAGCCAGTTCCGACGGAAGTAAGGTGAGTGTAAAGGGGGTAAATTCTACGCCTTACGTATTCTTTTAAAGTATATGATTTTAAGTATTTTAGCGAATTGGTTACCGTTGCTTGATTATGTGTGTGATTGATTATTTGTGCCTTGCTTGAGCTATGATTTGAGGTGATTTTGTGCTATTTACCTTAAAGAGTTTTGTTTGAGTTATTGTTAAAGTTTAAGAAACAATTTATTTTTAAGAATTAACTCACCTTCAAGAGTTAAAGTTTGAGATTTAAGAATGGAGTAACAGTAACTTCCGTACAGTTTTAAGAGTTAAGCTTTTTAATAGTGATTGTACAAAACAACTTCCACTCAGTTAAGAAAAGGAATCAAGTATTAATAAGATGTTAAACGTAAGGGCGTAGACTGACCCCATCTCAATCACCAGTTTGAAGAGGAAGAAGCTAGAGGAGCAGTTAGAGAGCAGCGGGATCTAGAGAAACAGTTCGAGTGAAGCTAGCTAGAGGAGGATGGTACGATCGTAACAGAGGATGTCTAGTCAGATTTTTTCACACAAGCAGCAACACTTGAGACTAGTTAGTTATTATGTTTTATGATTATGAGTATAGACTGGAGATTAAGTTGAGTTTTTAAAGTTTGAGTTTAATTTGCCCATATGTTAGGGCTTTGCTTTGAACTACAAGTGTGTGTGTTTTCAGTATTTTATTTATTAAAATTTTTCGCGCTGCAATTTAAGATTTGAGCATTTCATTTATCAAGAGCATTTTAGTAAAAGTAGTACCCGGCCGGGTTAGAGTGTGTCATTTTGGTATCAGAGCCGTTCTTCCTCTGTTCCTTGGTCTCCAAGGAATACTGGAATATCGGTCTTAGTTTTAAAGGAAAGGAAAACGAGTCAAGGATCTTCTTTTAAGAGTTTATAGAATCTCTAGTCTACTCTAATCATGTTGAGGTGAATAACTCTGACAACACGACACAAAGGGATGGTAGCACGAGGGTGCAATTGGTTTAAGAATAAGCTAGGACGCGAGTTAAGTTACCACGTCGTGGGACGCCAAATAAGAGATTGAGGCGTATGGCGATCGCCAATAAGAAAGAAAGGATGAAAGAATAGTGACCCACCCAAGTAGAATCTCAAAGGCTCTCAAGACCAAGTATCCCATCGACAAGATGGATAGCAGTTTTTCAATTAGCTAACCAAATGCTCGAACGTTAGCAAACAGATCGTCATCATCAACCTAGAGAAGGAAGGAGGAACGTTGCAAAGGTCTGTGGAGGTAGAATCAAATATGTGAGGACTTCAACTCCAAACACCATCAAAGAGGTGCCAATTGAAAGGGAATACCTCAAGGATTTTGAAGGAGTTGAGAGAGTAGTACGAGGATTTTACTACTAGGAGACAAGTGGATGATCTAATAAGCTAAGACAAACAAAGGGGAGAAATATGAATCTCCAAAGGAAGAGGAACAATCACTAGATGTTAGTAGCTATACTGATGGGAGAATTTTGGGGTCCTTGACCCTAAACAGTGGCGATTCAATAAATAAAGAGGTACCACGAGAAGTCCCTCAATTAGTTTTAGTGGTCAACGCTATTACAACACAGTGACAAGGAGCAGTGGAAAGCTTAAACTTCAAGAGAAGCTAGTGTAGTATAAATGAAGTAAAGGAGGAAGTAAGTAGGTTAGAGGGGGTCTGAAAGGACGTTAAAAGTCAAAAGTTTAAGAAGGAGAGGAGGCATGGTCGGTTACATATGACGATGAAGGAGCCCTTATAGATAAACCACGTAACTGGAGAAGGGGTACTTAATCCTGGGGAGTTAGGCCGATGACAAGCCTTTAGAAGGAACAAGACAAGCAACAAGATAAATGATGTAGAGGGAAAGTTATGGTCTCAGTACGACCACCATTGGACGAGAAGTGGAGGAAAGTGCCACCAAAGTCTAAAGCATGCCTGGTAGAAGACACTGGGGAGTCAATACATAAGAAAGACATGGATTGTGAGACAGAATAACAGTTAGCTAGTAGATGGCAGTACGAATAGAGAACCACTTCTCAGAAGTGCGTGAGTTGGATACCAAGATAACACCGAGTTAGAAGGAGGATAGTAGAAACCCTACAAACTACCCAGATCACAAAAGGTCAGGAGGATGTTGGGACCGTTGGAAAGGGTATGCAAGAGTTCACGATGAGCTATTATGGGATTGTCCTCTCTTAAATAGAGGGAACACCAAGCCTCCTAGGGTACATGAGGAGTGACAGAAGGAGGAACCTCTCTACTAAGTTGGAGCTGAGGCTAAGAGCCGAGGTCTCGGAACTAGCTATAGAGTAAGTCATTAAGCCAACCGAGTATAGACAAGTAAGTGGAATGTTCGATAAATAATCTCGGGAAGGGCAGGGAATTCGAGGAAACACAGGGAAGTTCCGATGAAGGATTAAGAATATGTGTAGGTGACTCATGTTCAAAAAAATGCATAAGTGGAGTACGACGAGGAAAAGCATTACCAAGAAGGAGGAAATCATTAAGTTACCTTACCCAAGGTGCCCCATTGTGAGTGAGTACGACATAGTACGATATCCTCCATAAAAGAAGGCTAGTTAAGGATAAATTAGTGATATTTAGTTAAGCCACTAAGAGCCATGACTAAGGGATGAAGGCTATGTAGAAGCATCGGTCGAGACAAAAGACGTGTATGAGGTATGTTCAAGCCTACCAAGGGCAAGCCACTATTGGAAGCTTTGACCCAAAACAACAACGAGAAGATACTCAACAGAGTTTGGTGACCGAAAATAGTACAAAGCACCAACAAAAGGGTAGTAAAAGTAAAGAAGCAAGGAGAACACCATAGGACGCTATAGGAAATAAAATAAAAATAAAAATAAAAAAGTAGTGGTCAACCGGACAATGAATGCGTGAAGGAAGATAGCTGGGACGTGGTCAAGCACCATCGTGAGTAGAAGTCGTGGGTGTCATCTGGCAAGTCTACCTAGAGAAAGTTTCTAGTGGACATGTTGGCTCGGAGGTATAGCAGGAGCTACTAAACTGAGTAGATCAAAGCTAGTACCAAGCATCGATGAAGGAGTTGTGGAAGTAAGGAGGAAACCACAAGGCTATAATGAAGGTTATGGTGAAAAGGGTGGTAGTTGATAAAACGATAAATTCAGGGAGAAAGATAGTTAGGAAGAGCCAGCGAAAGAATGCGAAGGTCAACAAGGAGGCGTTAAGGTGATTGCCAGTGGAGAATAAGTTGGACCATAGGAAGCCCATCAAGAACGGAGAAGCTCAATGGTCAAATTTAAAGTAGAAGTGTAGGGGTCCAGAACGGTTGAAGGGAAAACCTTATCGGTCAAGGTACATAAGTGAGAAGAGAATATGGGCACCAAGATGACTACATCGAGGACGAGAGACATATAGAACAGGGAGAAACATCGGTGAGAGGAGCCACGAGTAAAGTCGTAAGATGGATATGAGTTTAGAGAACCTGCTAGGATACCCTAAAGTGAAAGCAATACCACCTATGAGGATGAAATGTGGCGACCTCTCGGGTGAAAATTTCTTGGACGGGGGAACTGTACGAGGAATTTCAGGCAAGGTCAAGGAACAATAGAAGAGATCGTACGAGAACTCCCAAGTTAAACGGAGATAAGGAAGTGTTAAGTTAGGCGCCATGAGTGAAAGAGTACTCAAAATGGAAGGTCATGATTCTGGAAAGAAGTCATAAAGTTGATCCCAAGCTAGAGAAAGATGCAAAGGATGCCTCTAATGCATACAGAAAATCGAAGCAGTAGTATGAGGTTCCAACACTAAGAAACAAGTAACGAGAAGGTGACCATTCAATTTATGGTTAATGGATAAGACGAGGAATTAAGTAAGAAAGTAAGAGATGCAAAGTTAGGAGATACAAGGACCTAGGTGATCTATGAGATCAACCCTGGACGAGAGTGATGTTAAAGGAGTTGTACCATCTGACTGGATAGAGGATAAGCTGCCATCTATATCCTTGGGGGTTTGAGAGAAGCATTAACGTCTCGTATACCTCATAATGGAGATAGTTATTTCTCCGACATACGTCTAAGGTGCATAGGTGATGTGAGGGGTTAAGAAGTCACCACAAGCGAAGCTTGCAGTAATCACAGTGGATAAATTTCGAGGGCAAAATTTCTATAAGTGGGGAGGAAATGTGATACCTTGACTTCGATTTAGGTTCAACATCAAGAACTGAATCAGTTGGATCAAATAAATCGAGCCGAAATTATGTCCCATCGCACCTTGGGCCCAAGTTGGAAAATTTTGAAAAGGGCAATGAGTCACTCAAACCTATTCGATGCTACCAAGCTAGATGAGAATATATGTTATGGTCAAGGGTACATATAAGAACTATTGTAAGCTATTCAAGACAAGGTAAGGGCACGCCATTGAAGTTCATATAGAAAGAGTGAAATCTTGAGCCAAAGAAGCACGATAATGAGGAGTATGAAAGGATGAGCCCGATCAAATTTCGGGGAAGAAATTTTTATAAGGGTGGAGGAAATGTTACACCCCGATCTTGCCAAAAGTCAAAATGACTATTATACCCTTGCGAGAAATTCGTCAAATTCCATCACAATATCGATGAGGACTAAAAATGCGAAATCTCGGTTCAAGCGGTGTCGAATTTCGACATAAAATGAGAAAGTTACGGACATTAATTGAGTTTCGGATTAAACTCACCCGCAAGTGTGAATTTCCACAAGTAACCTTGGACTAACTAAAACCCTAGACTTTTATTCCACCCCACTCGGGCTCACCCCAATGGAAAAAAACCCCTCGTCTCGCCGAACTCTGAAAATACAACTCTCGACTAGCGAATCCTCTCTTTCCCTTCCCCCAAGTCACTCACCGCCTTCTCCGCCATCAGGTGTCTCTATGTGCTAACAAACAACGGTTGACTTGGGATCAGCTTCATGCGCTATTTGAAGGGTGGCGGTGATTATGGCCGGACGCTTGCCCGAGCCTGGTCCAGTCAATCTCGGCGGAGTAGGGTATTTGGCATCCGGCTTCCAAGGGAGGAGAGGAAAGCCATAGTTCCTTTCACTCACCAATCCGAGATCATGTACAGGTCTGCTGTTGCCGCTAGGCTGCTGAGAGATACAGCCGCCGCACAGAAAGGTCCTGGTTGGCTAAGTTCTCTCAATCATTCCAGGCGGTTTGCTCATTCTTTACCCTTCGCAACCGTAGATGCTGAAGAGTTATCGGGTGCTAGACCAGCTCAAGTACAAAATCGGGTGCAGGGGAAATGGGGAGGATCTTTTAGGTGGAACACAATTGTGGATCCTTTAAACGGGGAACCATTTATTAGAGTTGCTGAAGTAGATGAGAAAGGCATCAGGCCATTTGTGGAGAGCTTGTCCAATTGTCCTAAGCATGGGCTGCACAATCCATTTAAGTTGCCTTAGAGGTATCTTCTTTATGGGAACATATCCTCGAAGGCGGGGCACATGCTTTCATTACCAAAGGTTTCTGATTTCTTCGCAAGGTTAATACAAAGAGTTTCCCCAAAAAGTTATCAGCAAGCGCCTTTATGGACAAAGTTCAAATCTTGTGATTGCATCGAGTGGGAACTTGGTTATTCAAGCAAGCAGGAGGACATTACCAAGCAGGTAAAACTATGTATGAGGTGGCTTGAATCACAGGGCATCACAAACAAGCTGGTCGCATGATTTTTTTTTGCCATCGCTGCCACGGACGACAAGGGGAAGCAAGCATGAGGTAGTTTGCTCGGGAAATTAAGGCAAAAGCGGGCTGACTGGTCGATTGAGACAGTGGGTTTGCTTTTTCTCTCTACTACGAGAGCTATTTGCTTAAGCAAGCTCGTGTTGTTACCGGCGGATTCAGGGTGGCCAAATAACGACCAAACGGTTCACTTAGTTCTATTTTCCAAGCAAGCTGCTCCAATTTTGTTCAAGCGAGTACGAGTGTGGTATTTGGAAGCGAGTATGGAAACTTTGGAGCAAAATCAGAGTCAGTTCCGACGGAAGTAAGGTGAGTGTAAAGGGTTAAATTCTACGCCTTACGTATTCTTTTAAAGTATATGATTTTAAGTATTTTAGCGAATTGGTTACCGTTGCTTGATTATGTGTGTGATTAATTATTTGTGCCTTGCTTGAGCTATGATTTGAGGTGATTTTGTGCTATTTACCTTAAAGAGTTTTGTTTGAGTTATTGTTAAAGTTTAAGAAACAATTTATTTTTAAGAAGTAACTCACCTTCAAGAAGGTGAAGTCATTTTAAGTGTTTTTAGTCACTAGCGCCAGTCCGTTGCCATTTGAGATTTTCAGAGAGAGCAGCAGTTATGCTCTTGAGATCTTTGAGATAGAGCAGCAGTTATGCTCTCGAGACTTTTAAGATGAGCAGCAGTTATGCTCTTGAGAATCGTGGTGAAGAGCCACCACGAAAAGTTTAAGATGTTAGGGGGATGAATCGTTACGACTTCCCTAACTAAGTTTAAGTTTAAGGAAAGCCTGGATGGCTTCTCATAAGTATGAGTTGGAAACCAGACTAGCTAGTGAGGGATCCCAGTATCGGTCAAGTATTTAAGTCAAGCTTTGAGATTTAAGAATGGAGTAACAGTAACTTCCGTACAGTTTTAAGAGTTAAGATTTTTAATAGTGGAAGTACAAAACAACTTCCACTCAGTTAAGAAAAGGAATCAAGTATTAATAAGATGTTAAACGTAAGGGCATAGACTGACCACATCTCACTCACCAGTTTGAAGAGTAAGAAGCTAGAGGAGCAGTTAGAGAGCAGCGGGATCGAGAGAAATAGTTCGAGTGAAGCTAGCTAGAGGAGGACGGTACTATCGTAACAGAGGATGTCTTGTCAGAGTTTTTCACACAAGCAGCAACACTTGAGACTAGTTAGTTATTATGTTTTATGATTATGAGTATAGACCTCTAGATCAAGTTGAGTTTTTAAAGTTTGTGTTTAATTTGCCCATATGTTAGAGCTTTGCTTTGAACTACAAGTGTGTGTGTTTTCAGTATTTTATTTATTAAAAAATTTCCCGCTGCAATTTAAGATTTGAGCATTTCATTTATCAAGGGCATTTTAGTAAAAGTAGTATCCGGCCGTGTTAGGGTGTGTCATGCTTCTTCTAGAGTTTTTTGGTGGAAGAAAAAGAAGGGAAAGGAGAGAAAAGAAGAAAGAGGTGATGGTAGAAAATGAATGGAGGAGGTTGCTGAAAAGTGAAGTAAAGGGGATAGGAGGATAGGGTTTGGACGGATTTTGAGATAAGATTCGGTTAGGTAAGTCGAACCAGGACGCGGTCGACCTATTCCATAAAATGATCGACCTGGTCATTTATCAAGTCGTCTGTTTTCTATGTTCCAGTTAATTTGAACTACCAAATAACACATGCTTAAAATATGACGATAGTTTATAAATACATAAATGCGAAATAGAACACTACAATCATAGTTAAAAAAATCAACTCTTAAAAAACAGTACTAGAAATTTATGCTCTTTTCTGGGGACTTTTTTTCAGACACTTAGGGTGAAAATGACCATATTTCCCACATTTTGAACACTTTCTTAAACTTTTTCCCGATGCACTTCGTGCCGACTTGAATGTTCCCTTGGACTTCCCAATTTTTGGGTCTTTCACACTTGGAAGGGGTGCTGGAGGGTTTACAGGTGCAGTGGTGTCCATTCTCTCCCTCAAGAACTCAATTGCCCATTGAGTAAGGTTATCCAACGCCAAGGAGACATAATTAAAAGCAGCATCATTACCACACGCGATGTCACATAAACGCTTACCACACGCGATGTCACATAAACGCTTACACTTTAGTGGCAATCCCCCATGTCTTACACTTTAGTGGCAATCCCCACCTTTAGTGGCACATAAACGCTTACACTTTCGCTGCCACATCACCTCCAACTCCAAGATTACGAGATAGTGTCTTTGCATTTTGGGTCCATCAAAGCTTGAACCACGTGGAGGGTAGTGCTATAACTCCCTTATTTTTTATGACTGTAAGCATATGTCTGCATGGAAACCCCTTAGATTCAAACAATGCACACTCACATTTTAAATTTTTATTGGTCGTAGTAAATGTTAACCTCCTTATCTGATTCGGGTTCATGCAGTTCTTCAAAATGAATGTCTCTGTCCCATCAACTTCAGTTCTTGTCTCCGCTAACACATAAGAAGCGTCGTTCTCTAGTTCACAGTTGAAGATAGCTAATGTACGATGTGTGTAGATACTTTCAGCTTGCATTTCCCATGTGTGAAGGGCATGCTTGTAGACCAACCTCCAGTGCCTAGAAGAATAATCATACTGCACCTCCGTGTAACGCATCCCCAACAGTGCTTCATCTATGCTGTGAACAAAACGTTGCAAACTGTATTGAGTTCTTACATACCCATTTATCCAATGGTTACATGACTCACATCGTGAGGTTGATTGGAGTCCAGCGAAATAAATATCCTTCAAGTATGCCTATGCCCAAAGTAGTTTGGCATCGTACAAATCCTACAACAACTTATTTGAAGTCAAACCATGCTCAGTAATCAAACGCTTCCAGTGGCTCTCAAACTCCTCAGTTGATATACGTGCTTTTGCCACACATAGACTTGCATCCGTCGGTGATCAATGAAGTCAGCATCTTATAGTTCATACACTCCAAAAAAGTATTCCAAACATAGTTGGAGATTGTCTCATTATCCAACTGGGAAAAACCATATATGGTTTTGCGGTGGTGGTTATTTACACCTACCATCATAAAAAATGGCTGATTGTACTTGTAGCGCTTGTAGCATGCATCAAATGCCAAGACATCCAAAAAAAAACTAGTAATCCCCTCTAGATGTGGAGTCCGACCAAAAGAGATTGCTTAATTCACCTTCATCACTGACTGTGTACTTGAAGAAGCTGCCTCTGTCAGAAGTATTTTTACTCTGCAAATAACTCAATGTTTGGTTTACATCTCCTATTAGATCTTCGTCATCATCTCGGGAATTTTGAACAGAGTTATCCAAATCCGTTGGAGTGTACCCCAGATTCTCATATCCTCCAACTTTATTCTTCGTGATCTTAATAATGTTGCGTTTTTTTATTCCTGACTGACACATCCCTATCGCCAATGCCTTGTCTTCTTCACTCACATTTTGATGAGACCGAAGAAATTGAGTTTCTTGTTCATTGCAGCAACTGTGTGAGTGCTTCCTCTCGAACGTAGAAACAACCCACATTTTCTTCCCCGATCAAAGCGTACATTATAGGATGCCTTGAAAGATTGTCTTGTCATCTTATGATGTTGTTGTGTCCGACCTTCTTTATCTATATGCCTCTTCTGTCTAATTCCCTCTTTTGAACATACCATTTTTCCTCCCAGTAACTACTCCTCGACGATTCCTCCGAAGATCTCTACGTCGAATGCTAAACCCTTTTGCTTTAGCATAGGCATCATAAAATTTCTATGCATCTTCTAATGTTTGAAACTCCATGGAAGGAATTTGTTGTTCATATTCAGTAGCTTCTTCATCATTGATTATGGCCTAATTGTACGCTTTTTACCCCTGTTTCCACTTGATGTTTGTGAAATTTGAACTCTTAAAAGGTTGGTTTTAAGTTAGGTTTTGTATTTCAGTGTGTTTCGGATCCTAACAGGTAGAACCAACCCCGGAGTCGAAAGTTGGAAGAAATTGAGCGAAGACTGGGCAAAGAGGAGGAATGAGTTGCAGTTCATGGCCTCTAAGGCCGTGAACTGGAACCACAAACCATGAACAGCGAGATGTTCATGAAGGTTCGAGAGGTTACTGACGACCAGGAAGTTCACGGTCACTAAGACAATGAACCTGGAGAGTGAAGCGGTGCGATTTGGAGATGACACTGAGTTCACGGCCACGTTTAGGTGTTCATGGCCGTGAACTAGAAGGCCGTGAACTCAGCTCGATCTGGGTATAAGTGTGGAGCTGAAAGGAAGAAGAAAGGGGGGGGGAGAGACCTAGAGTGAGAAAACTTCTCCTTCTTCATATTTTAGAGTGAGAAAGTGATGAACAAAGAAGAGGAAAAGCTAGTGTTTGATCTCCACGCAAGGATTTGGGTTTTCTTGAGCACAAGGAGCAAGGCTGCCTCTTCATGATGGTTTTCCTTTCCCTCTTTTGTGTTTTCCCTTCTCCTAGCATGGAGTAGTCCCTTATTTCACTTGGGTGTTTGTAAACCCTAGCTACAATTATGTGAATGCTTGTATAAATTGAATGATTTGTGTGTGGATGTGTCTAAATGTGAATGTGGAGGTATTATTCAGAAATGATTGTGTTGTGTGAAAGCCTATCAAACTAATTGCCATTCTAACCTAGTTTAGAGAGAAATCCCCTTAACTTAAGAGGCTCTTCTAGAGATGGGGTTTTGGGGTATTCTATGCCTCCTAGTCTAGGTTAGTTTGAGGGAAAACCTCCCAATTCATATTAAACACTTAGGATTTGGTTGTGGGTGGTCGTCCGAACTCCAATTCGAGGGTGAAGTCTAACTAATCCTTAGTCGATAGGTTGAGAGGGTCACATAAGTGGCTGGGATCGTATCCCATTCCCCAACCTAGAATCTAAGAGGGTAACTTTGGTTGCTTGTTAGACTTCCCTGCGGTTTATGACCCCCTAACCACACACGATCGTTCGATTCTTCGAGTCATAGCTATTAGCTAGGGGGAGCAACACCCGGCTGAAGCTTTCTCAACTAGAGTCAAATCCATTTTACCTTTGCAAAGTAATTTAGTTTTCAATCTTTGTTTTATACTTGGAACTTAGGTGGGATTTTATTGTGATAGTTAGAGCGAGTCTAGTTTGTGGCGCCATTGCCGGGGAACAATGGTCTATTATCGTGAAAAGTTTGTTTGGTGTTAATCTAGCTTTTGATTTCTGTTGTGTTAAGTTGTGAAGTGTTTGCTTGTGCTAGACGTGTTGTGTTCCTTGAGTGTGTGCAGGGAGGTGTATGACCCGAAGCAATCCGGCGCCTTTAACACCACTAGACGAGGACATCAACCGGACCCTCCGACTTCTAGCTTGAGAGAGGGAGCAAGTGAAGGCAAGAAGGAGAGGTGAAGAAAGGGGACAACAAGTTGGTCCCGAAGTTGAAGCAATTGAAGAAGGAATTGCAGTTGAGATGGCAACAAATCAACACCGAGGGGCTAATCCACTTCTAAACCCAAATGGAGAAGTGAAAGCCGAGGAAGGGCTAAGGACTATGGTCTATTACATGGCTCCACGGGCGGCAGATATCCAATCTCCCATATTATATCCACGGTGGCCGCCAACAACTTTGAGATCAAGCCCTCTCTCGTGACGATGATTCAACAAAATGCTTACTTCCATGGGCTACCCCATGGAACACCACAAGAGCATATCCAAAGGTTTTTTGAGCTAGCGGAAAGCTTGAAGATTAATGGCATCCCCGAGTAGGCATTGAGATAGAAGCTTTTCCCCCTATTCTTTGGCGGGTAAGCCACTCCGATGGCTCAACAACCGTCCGGCTCTATCCATCACCTCTTGGGAAGATCTCCTCAACAAATTCATGACCAGATACTATCCTCCTTCCAAGACGGACGAGTGGAGGAAGAAGATCACTCACTTTAAGCAAGAGGAGGACGAGACATTGAGGGATGCATGGGAAAGGTTCTCCGATTACTTCCTCCAATGATCTCACTATGGATTCGAGGAGCAATTTCGGATAGAAATTTTCTATGGATGACTCATTCAAGATGACAAGATCCTCATTAACTCTCTATGCCAAGGGAGGTTGATGAACATGACCCCTCCTCAAGTCACTGAATTGCTTGAAGGTATGGCTATCAAAGGAAATGATTGGGGCTTGGCAAGGAGTGGGAAGAGAAGCAATGAAAGAGGAGTAAGAAGTGTAGGAGCAAGTGCTCCACTTGAAGCCAAACTTGATAAGTAGATTGAAGTGATCCTTGAGGACAAGAAGTAAGGAAAGAGAGCGGTGATGTCTTGTGATTGGTGTTCGAGCACCAATCACGAAATTGCGGATTGGCAAGCGATGAAGGAGTCGAGTACCCTCGAGGATCAAGTGATTTTCATTGCCAATGCTAGAGGGAACAACCCTTATAGCAACACATACAACCCCGGGTGGCGAAATCATCCAAACTTTGTTTGGTCGTCCCCTACCAATCCAAGACCTCCCGGTTTCCAAGGTCCAACGAGAAACTACCAACCTCGGCCAACATTCATCCAACAAAGGCCTCAGTTCCAAAGCTCGAACTTCCAAAAACCATACCAAACACAAGGTGATCAAGGGTTTCAACAACCACAACAAGGTGACAAGCTCTCTAAACTAGAAAACCTTGTTAACACCTTTGTGGGTACAAGCTCTCAGAAGTTTGAGAAGATTGAGCAATTTATGGATGTGGCAACATCCATGTTTATCTCGGTTGAGGCGGGACTCCCAAGCCATCAAGCGAGTCTCCAAACTTGGAAGTGCAAATTAGCAATCTTGGTGGGATCATCACCGAGAGATCAAAGGGAGCCCTACCCTCTCAAACCATTGCCAACCCCAAAGATCAAGCTGGGTGCAATGCGATTTACTTGAGGAGTGGGAAGGTGACCCGAGAGGTCGTTGCTCAAGAAGTGAATAAGAAAGAAGGCCCTCTACCCGAGGGTGAAGATGAGGAAACCTCGGGGGAAAAGATAGGGGTGGCAAGGAAGGCATTGCCGACGCCACCACCTGTGGCCGAGTACACGCCACCCCTACCTTTTCCCACGAGGCTACACAAGGAAAAATTGGAAGCGGAATGTGGAGGCTTCATGAGGATGCTCTGAGAGCTCCACCTCAACATCCCCTTCCTCGAAGCAATGGACCACATGCCAAGATATTGTAAGTACCTCAATGGGCTTCTAGCCAAGAAGCCAAAGGTTGAAGACCTCACCAATGTCACCCTAGGCGAGGAGTGCTCATCCTTCATCCTCAACAGGTTGCCCAAGAAGCAACCCGATCCAGGTAGTTTCACTATACCTCTTTGCATCGGTACTCATCACATAGAGAACTCCTTGGCGGACTTAGAGGAGAGCATAAATGTGATGCCATTTAAGATTTTTAAGAAGCTAGACATAGGTGAATTAAAGACCACAAGGGTTAGTGTCACATATTAGCGGATCATTCTGTCATTAGTCCTAGGGGCATAGTGGAGGATGTATTGGTACGAGTTGGCAAATTCTGTTATCCGACGAATTTTGTGATCTTGGATATAAGTGAGGATTATGAGATGCCATTCATACTAGGACGACCCTTCTTAGCCACCTCTAAGACATTAATTGATGTAAATGAGGGAACTTTGATTCTAAGAGATGTGAGTGGAGGCGAGCCTCTCAAGGCAAACCCCGCTAGTGTGTTTGTTCCATGTGATGTGAAGAAGGACAAGGTGTCGGGTACTAATACTAGTAATAAGAAGAGAGCATGGTGTGCTAAGTGGGAGAATGCAATCAAGGAGAGGAAAGAAAAGTGAAAAGGGAAGTTGGCCAATCGAGGAAACCACTCATTGGTGAAGGACAAGGGCAAGACAAAGATGCCTGGCCAAGAAGACCATCCAATGGAGCTTAAGTTGGGAGGCGACATGCCTCACCCCGAGAATGTGGTGGATCCACTCTCGGTGGCATCATGTTCCAAAACATTATAAATCCGCAACGTCAAGCTAGTGACGTTAACTTAGCGCTTGTTGGGAGGCAACCCAACGTAGGTTCGTTTTCTTTTACTTATTTTCGTTTTTGAGTGTCGAGTGAAGAGTTCTAGTGGTTGAGTGGTATCCCCGTGCCACGTTTTGTGGTTGTGCATTTTGAGGTTGTGTCGTGATCGATAGAAGGCACAGTGGATTAGTTCAAGTAAAAAAAATTCAGAACTGCCCTGTTTTAAATGATGTTCACGGACAGATTGCCAAGTTCACGGTCTTACAAGAGCGTGAAAAGGCAAATGCGTCCGTGAACAGGGCACTTCAACGAGCGTGCTAGTTGTCGACCACCCACAATTCATGACTGCATTGTTGTGTTCACGGTCTTAACGATCGTGAACTAGCAAACGCATCCTTGAACTGCTAGCGTCGTCTATAAAAGGGGCGTGAACGTTGACCCTTCACTTCACGACCCAAAACTCGCCGGAAAATTCAAATCACGCCGGAAAATCGCGAATCTTCAATGGTTTTCAGTCCATTTCACCCACTTCCGGCTAGCAAAACCCAAAACAAACCTCAAACCCATTCTTCCCTCATCAAAGGCGGCCTTCGCCTTGATTTTGGGTAGATTTGGAGCAAAATTTTCTAGCAAAGTCGCCGTCGGAGAGCCTCCAAAGAGAGTCTGGCGAGCTTCTGACGAAGCTCTGGCGATCCTTCTCCGGGCTGTTTTAAGCCGTTTTCCGCCTTCCTCGCCCTCACCTCACTTCCTCCTACGTCCTACTTGTGTCTCCAGGTTGGTTTTTCAGCTCTACCTTATTGATTTTGGGAGAATCGGATTAGGTAGGGAAGTGAGGAGAATCTTAGTGCCTTGAATGTTGAACTTAGAATTAGGGCGAGGAATTAGGTGAACTAGGATGATTGAATGGATGAAAGACTTTGCATGAGCTTAGTTGAGCCTTGGTGGGCATTTGTTGATTCAAATCGCTTTTATTTGTTGATTTTGCCCCCCAAGTGCTATTTTGTGATGAATGTGCATTGTTATGCTTGAATGGTGGATGGTAGCCACCGTGGCATTGGTTGGGGTTCAAATGTTTGTGTAGTTGAACCATGAAATACCCACAACCATGCCACGATGTGTTGAGCTTAAATGTTTGAAATCCATAATGGAGATATAAGTGTGGAGGAATTTCTTTTTCCTCGCAATGAGTTGTGCTTAACAAATGTTTCCACGTACGGTGTTTGTTTGCAAAATTTTGTAGGATGCTTAACGAGGAGCACGAGTTCATCAGTTACTTGGTGAGCCATGCACGGTTTGGCGACAAGTTCGCCTACCAGAGAGATAGCCCGGTCGGGCCACATTGGCGGCTGGACCTGGACATGTTTAACATGTTCAGGTTCTGAGGCGCAATGTCAGGGGTCGTTTGTCACCCCTAGTGGCCCCTGCTGCTCACCATTGACGAGCTCATATACCACGAGCTATGCGTGGAGTTCTACTCCACGTTCGCCCATGTAGTCCCGACCGGCAAGAAGAGCCGGCCTTATGTGGAGTTCATTTGGGGGGGTCAGTCCGAGTGCTGACCTATGACGCTTTAGCCCAGGACATGGGGCTTGACCCGACTCACATGACGATGACGGAGCGGCAATACACCATCGAATTCCATTATCAGGTTGCATGTCGAGCCCTCTGCCACCCCGAGCACGAGAACAAGTAGTACGAGGCAAGTTGCACCAATGCAGTGAAGCTGAGGACTCCCTGGAGGATCCTCCACACCCTGCTCACCCATTCGGTCGTCCCCAGCCTGCAGTGGGGACATCTAATGACGAACAGAGGGCTTCAGGCTCTCTTCTCTATGAGGCATCCTGCGGAGCCAATCCATCTGGGATCACTGATAGCCACCTCTTTTGCCCGGTGTCTGGGGGTATCATCACGAGGATTTCCCACCACTTCGGAGTGGATGTGAAGCGAAGCTCCATCATTGGGAGGACCGAGCCCTCCCTAACGCAACTACCTGCTCGAGCTCCCAGCCGTCGATGGCGTCTAGTGCTCCGATGCACTATACCACCACCTGCAGCAGCTTCATCATCCAGAGCAGCCGGTGATCCCCTCGTCCAGAGGATGGATCGCCTCGAGACCCATGTTGTGGGAGTGACTTCTTGCCTCGACCGACAGACTGACCTCCTTGAGAAGATGGCTCGACGCTAGGGTCTCATTCCAGATGATGAGCCAGGGCCTTCGACCCAGTGAGAGGTAGCCGACGATGGCGATATGTGGCAGAACCGATTCCTTTCGCCCCCACTATTCCACTTGGAACTCTGAACTTTTTTGTTTTATTTTTCTTTCTTTTATTTGGTGTGTGTGATCATAAACTACTACTATCGTATTGTGATGTGTAATAACCTCTCCTCGAGCGAGTCGTAATAACCTCACCAATTCCAACTATCACTCACCAAGAAAAGCGGTAACACTTGTTCCACCTTAGGTCACCCAATTCGCCATTACACTGTCCACGTTCCCGCTCCAGAACGCCAAAACGCAAATTTTGGGGAGTTCACGAAAAATTCACGAACTACATTTGGGGGAGCGCGTATTGGGATTTTGGTAGTGCGATTTCTCCTCGAACCTAGAAGACTAACGTCGCCAGAAGTCCAGAACAACGAATTTCATCACCAGCTCTTGCTTCATCACTCCATCAACGCCACTCCGAACCCACTCTCCACCATCCATATGCAGCTCCTGCTCATGCAATTACAAATTATACATCCAATCGAGGATCCAAGATTAATCCTCTTAGATCTGCAGCAATTAAATCGAAAAGTGGGAATCATAAGCTTCAAAAAATTATAGGAGAAGAGGGCGGATGCGGCTTCGAGGAAGACGAAGAAAGGTACAGTCTCGTCGCGAGAGAGAGAGAGAGAGAGAGTAGTTGTACCCATTGAATGATTGATGCAATTCTCTTCTTTTCCTTCTAAATCGATCTCTCACTCGCAAATTGAAGGAGGGGAACATGAAAGAACGAGCCAGGAGATGAATATGTGGTCAACCAAAGATTGGAAACAGAGGAAGAAAATTTTGGTGAATGGTCTTTGCTTGGAGCGAAAAGAAGTATGCCAGTAGATAAACTCTTTCTGAAACAAGACGGATAGATAAGGGATATGTGGTGGAGTGGTGGTTGAGCTGTTTGCGTGAAAAGAGAAAGGATTATAGTTTTTACTTTTTAATTAATTGGATTCCACTCTTAAATTTGTAATTTCTAAAACCACTTTTTGGAAAAAAAAATTAATTTATTAGGCTTATGCTAATTTAGTAAACCTAACACCGTCTTTAACAGTTGTTATATTTATATAATATTTAATTGAATTTTGTTAAAAAGTTAACCTAGTAAACAAATTTGATATTAACTATAGTTTATGACTTATAATTAATATATACATTAAAATTAATATAATATTAACGCTCTCTTCACGTGCTCGATATTGAGTTCTTGAAAAATAGACGCTCTCTCTCTCGCTCCACGAACTGGTTACCTAAGTTCTACCCCTATCTTACGCCATTGAGGGCAATGTCGAACTTAAGTGTGGGGGGTAGTTTATTCTTATGCTTGTGTGAGTGTGATTGATGCTTGGAGCCTTGATGTATGCCCAAATTTGAAAAAAAATGAGGGCTCCAAGCAATGTTTGCACGATCAAAGTGGCCGGTTTGTAGGAGAATTTTATGTTTATTGGCAATGACCTTTAACTGTTGCATGTGATCAAGTGGGTCCTATGATGATGATTGAGAGGTGCATTAGGATAGTGCAAAGGTTTAGTTCTCATGTGTGCATAAATGAATGGATGTTTTGACTCGATTATTACAATTGCCATGCATGTTGCTTTGTGAATTGGAATACATGGTTGGGTGACTAGGTAGCCATGTGAGTTTTGAGCCGATCATTTTCTTCTTGTGTGCTTAGATCCCTCTTACCATGGCGAGTAACATCACAGTTGTCACTAGTGAGTATGAAGGAGGTATAGGATTAGTCCACGCCCAAATGTTGATTGTACCAAATGTTTTAACCCTAGTCAACCCCTTTGAGCCTTGTGACTTTGGGGGTCATTCTCATGTTAGGAGCTTTTTGTTTCTGAGCTTAATGGTGCTTGATAGAACGACCCCCCATCCTTCTTCGTGTCTACATGTGTGTCGTCTTCGTGTCCCGGAGCTCTCGCTTTTGAGTTCCATTGAGTTTCTACATAGAAGGATTTTGTGCGGTTCTTGCTAGGAACGAAAGTTAAAGGAAGAGTAGTGTTGGAGTGAGTTCTTAAAAAGAGAGCATCGATCGTTAAAAAGTACAAGTGGCAAGTGTTTTTCTCTCTAGTACCCCCCCCCCCCCCCTCAAAAGAAAAAAGAAAGAAAAAGGAAGAAAAAGGAAACGAAAAAGAGGTGATAAAACAGGGTAAATATAGTAGAGAGTTGATAGACCGATAATTACACGTATTTTCACCCCTATTCTTGAGCCGTTTGAAAGGTTGATTCTCGGGTTTTAAGCCGATTTCACGCGAGGTTGTGTGTTTATGTCATATTTCAGGACCCGACGTTGGAATCGAGGCGAAGGAACGAGATTCGGGTCGAAAGGAGCAAGTGAGGCTTGAAGCGGGCTGAAGGAAGAAAATACCCGGCCATAACCACAAATACCTGGCCGGGTATTATTCTGAGGAGACCGGGGAATTCCCTTTTTGGCGTCTGAGAAACAGAAGGGGTCCCGGTCGTGAGACTTAAATCCCCGGTCGGGGATTATTGGAGCAGACCGGGGATTTTCCCCTGGCATGAAATTTGCGTTTTAATAATACCCGGTCGAGACCCAAAATACCCGACCGGGTATTTCGACCGGGTATCGCGACAAGCAGCTGTTTTAAGGGAAAAGAGGGCTGAAAATCAAGGGATTCGAGTTTTTGAGAGAGAGAACGATTCCTAGAGAGAGAAAGCGACGAACAAGAGTCTCCAAGTGCCCTAGATTGATCTTCAACACCATTGGAGGCCAGCTTGAGCTTGGAGAAGTGCCGATCAATGTCCAGGAGCAGGAATCCATCCTTCACAGTATGAATTCCGCGTCTGATTCTGCTTTTGCCTCTTTCTCCATGGAGTAGTTCTCCCATTCATCTGGGTATGGAGAACCCTAGATTTGTATGTTAGGCTTTGATTGTATGAACCCAAGTACTGATTCTATGATTTGATTATATTCGATTGAGGTTTGAATGATTGAATAACTTGAATCCTGATCAAATTCCTGTTGTTTCTGCTTTAACCTAGAATGAGAATATCTTCTTAGGTTGATAGAGCATCCTTGATTGAAGGTGGGGAGTTGGTGACTTTAGTCGAGGAGCCAACTCACTATTCTGTACCGGATTTACTCCGGTAGTGGAGGTTTTGTTTGTTAGGGCCTCAATCTGTTTACTCCGGTGGAGGTTAGTCGCCCGCTAGAGACTCAGATTGAGAGGGTCTGAAGACCTTTAGTCGAGACTTCAGGCTGTTTAAGAACCTTCCGCAGTATAACTATCATAGAAACTGAACTTGGTAATTACAATCCGGCTTAACTGCAGTCTAGGGGGAACCATATCCGGGTGACCTCTCTTAACCTGAATACAACAGTTTACTTGCTTTGTTTGTTTGGTAGTTTAGACTTGCATTCCAGTTTCATTGCTAGATAACAAGTATTCACTGAGTAGTCATCAAATCTAGGACCCGGGTTGATAATTAAACCTAAACCCGCTATACTACGCTTTAGGAAGTGGTTTCACTTGGCCAATTCCTAGGGTGACAGTAGAAGTGAGTCAAGTTTTTGGCGCCGTTGCCGGGGACGGCTAGGTTGTTGAAGAAAAGTGATTTCTGTTAATTTAGCTTTTCTTTTTGCTTTGTTTGCTTTGTCCCACTTGTGCCTTCACGGGTTTGATTGCTTGAGTGTGTGCAGGTAGTGTATGCCCCGTAGCTAGTCGGGAGGTTTACTGCCGTTGAATCCAGAGATTGAACGCACCTGTCGCCAACTCAGGAGACAATAGCGAGCTAGACTGGCTACGAAAGAGCGCATAGACGGCCACTTGAGCAGCGATTCTGAAGAAGAGTACGGGATGGACGGAGAGTACAATCAACACCAGGGGAATCCTCAGCAGGCTCCCCCGGTGAATCAGGTCCTGGGGAACAACCCCATACCCCAGGATCATGGGGTTCATCATCCACCGCAGCCGGGTCCCACCTTGGAGTACTACTACACTCCTCAGATTGCTGACATCCGCCCGGTCATCCTCTACCCGCCTATTCCAGCAAATAACTTCGAGATCAAGCCATGCTGGATTCAGCTCATTACATCCTCTATCCAGTTCCATGGCTTGAAGGATGAGGAGGTTAGGGTGCATCTTTCCCGTTTTCTGCAGCTGACGAACGGGTTCAAACTGAATGGTGTCCCGGATGATGCAATCCGCCTTCATCTCTTCCCCCATTCTCTGGCGGGGAATGCTAAGAGGTGGTTGGAGACCCAGTCCCCATTGTCCATCACCTCTTGGGACGATCTGGCCGACAAATTCGTGCACAGGTACTATCCGGCATCGAAGACTACCGAGATATAGCGGGAGATCACTCACTTCCACAAAGAGCAAGATGAGTCACTTCGTGATGCATGGGAGCGGTACATGGGATATTTCTGGCAGTGTCCCCATCATGGCTTTAGTGATGCATTCACAGTGGGGAACTTCTACAGTGCTCTCTCTCCAGACAGCCAGAGGGTGATTGAGTCTCTATGCCTAGGAGGGGATGTTCTTACTAAGACTCCAACAGAATTGAACCAGATTATTAATACTTTGGCTGCCAGAGATCATTCCTGGGGACAGAGCAGCAGAGGCAGACAGTCCCGGGAACGTGGTGTGGCCATGGAGACCAGATCCGGGCTCGAGCAGCAGGTAGCTGAGCTAGTGCAGACATTGAAGCAGCCCAACAGTCTTATTCCGGGCAGAGGTTTGGCTACACCTCCAGTTTCTCAATGTCAGTGGTGTGAGAGCTCGAATCACTTAGTGGAAGACTGCCAGGCTATGAGGGAGTCTACTACTCCCCAAGAGCAGTTGGACTTCATCGCCAATGCTCGGCGCCTCGACCCGTACAGCAACACCTATAATGAGGGGTGGCGCCAGCATCCCAACTTCTCTTGGGGCAGCAACACCACTAAGCCACCTGGTTTCCCAGCACCAGCTAGTGGCTTTCAGCAGAGGCAGCCCTACCAGGCTCGACAGGGGCCAGCCCCACAGCAGCAGCCCTACCAGCCTCGACAAGGGCCAGTTCCACAGCAGCCGCCCTACCAGCCTAGGCGAGGGCAACCATTCCAGCAGCCCCAGCGCCAGTTCGCCAAGCCAGCAGCACCTCCGGCTCCAGATACTCAAATGACGAAGCTGGAAAATATTCTGGCTTCATTCATGACTAGCACTCAGGCAGCTATCACGTCACTGGAGGCAGGTCAGAGGAACCAGGGTGCCATCTTGCAAGATCTGCAGAACCAGGTGGGTATCTTGGCCCGCCAGAACACCACCAGGGCACCGGGGACTTTGCCTGCCACCACTGTTCTGAATCCTCGTGATCCTAACCAGCTCCAGCAGCTTGATGCCATCACTACCAGGAGTGGCAAGACCACATCAGCTGCTCTTGCCCAGCCCAGTCGAGATGAGCCACTACCTACTTCAACACTTCCCGCTGATACTGCAGAAGTGGGGGAAGACACAACAACGCCTGCTCCCAAGCCACAGCCAGTGGTTAAGGAGCATGTACCTCAGCTTCCTTTCCCCACTCGCCTGCATAAAGACAAGCAGGAGACTGAGTTTGCCAAGTTCATGGCAATGTTGAAGCAGGTCAACATCAGCATGGCGTTCGTGGAGGCACTGTCAAAGATGCCCAAGTATGCCAAGTTCATGAAGGACCTCCTCACCAACAAGAAGAAACTTGGGGATCTTTCGACGGTGATGCTGAGCAAGGAGTGTTCTGCCATTCTGCAGAACAAGCTGCCCGAGAAGCGAAAAGACCCAGGGAGTTTCACTATCCCTCTTGTTATTGGCAACATGCATGTAGGAAAGTCCTTGGCGGACCTAGGCGCGAGCATAAATGTCATGCCTTATAATTTGTTTAAGAAGCTAGGCCTAGGTGAACCTAGAACTACTAGGATGAGCATTCAGTTAGCTGATCGTTCTATCGTGCATCCTAGGGGTATCATTGAGGACTTGCTTGTTAATGTGGGTGCATTCACATATCCTGTTGACTTTGTTATTTTGGATATAAATGAGGATGTGGATGTACCTTTGATTTTAGGTAGACCGTTTCTCGCCACCGCCAAGGCGCTTATCGATGTGCATAGTGGTAAATTGATTCTGCGTGCTGGTGATGAACATGCTA